AGGGTTGTATCCTTTCACCTACTTATTAAATCTGTATGCTGAGCAAATAAATGATCCAAGCAAACTGGACTATACAAAGAAGAGTGTGGCATCAGGACTGAAACAAGATTCATTAACAATCTACAACATGCAGATGACACAACTTTGCTTGCTGACAGTGAAGATGACTTGAAGCACTTACTGATGAAGATCGAAGACTACAATCTGCAGTATGGATTACACCTCAACATAAAGAAAACAACAATCTTCACAACTGGACCAATAGGCAGCATCACAACAGATGGGGAAAAGATTGAAGATTTCAAAGACTTCATACTACTTGGTTCTACAATCAATGCCAACGAAAGCAGCAGTCAAGAAATCAGATGACGTATTGAACTGAGCAAATCTTCTGCGAAAGATCTCTTTAAAGTGCTGAAGAGCAAAGATGCCTCCTTGAAGACTAAGATGCGCCTGACCATGGTATTTTCAATCATCTTATATGCACATGAAAGCTGGGCAATAAATAAAAGAAGACTGAAGAAGAGTTGATGCTTTTGAATTGTGGTGTTGGCATAAAATACTAAAAAAGTACTACGGACTGCCAGAAGAACTAAAAAATCTGTCCAGGAAGAAGTGCAGCCAGAAGTTTCTTGTTAGGGAGAACGCCCAGACTTTGTCTCACCTACTTTGGTCACATTGTCAGAAGGGAACACTTCCTGGAGAAGGATATCATGCTTGGTAAAGTGGAGGGTCAAGGAAAAAGGGGAAGACCCTCAATGAGATGGACTGATACAGTGGCTGCCATAATGGGCTCAGGTATATCAGGGATTATGAGGCTGACATGGGACGAGGAAGTGTTTTCTTCTATTGTACACATGGTTGCTATGAGTTGGACCCAACTTGATGTCACCTAACAACAAAAACGTTGGTGCATTATTTTTATACTTTTATATTATTTCCGGCATATTTATCATTTTGAATTCTACTCATTCTTAAACCATTTTCATCTAAGGGACACATGTGCAAGGATAATTAATATGTTTTCTATGTGATTATCATAATTTGCAAACAAGAAAAACTATACAGTATATAAATATGCTATGTTGTTGTTGTTGCTGTCATGTGCCGTTGAGTTGGACCCAACTCATAGCAACCCCTCATTGGATTTCTGAGCTGGTATCACTATGGAAATAGATTGTCCAACCTTCCTTCCAAGGAGTGGCTGGTGGGTTTGAACCATCAGCCTTCTGGTTAGCAGTCAAGTACCTTAGGCACTATGCGACCAGAGCTCCTAAATATGCTACAGGCCACAACTTACTGTATGTTTTAACTGACAAAGTACTTTCATATGTGTCACTGAAATACTTAATTTTTTCAATGCATTTTATTGAAATATAATTTATGTACAGTGAAATACACAAAACTAAAGTGACATGGGTCAATGCATTTTTTTTTCCAGTGTTCCCTCCGTTCCCCTTCAACCCCTGGCAACCAACAAAGAAAGCCTCCCTCCATATATAAACCTTTCCTTGACCCTCCACAACAACGAACTAATTAATACCATATTTGTCCTTCTATGATTGACTTATGTCACTCAGCATAATGTCCTCCACGTTTGTGCATATTATGCGGTGTTTTGCAGACTCTACATTATTCTTTAGTGCTGCATTGCATTCCATTATGTGTATGTACCATAGTTTGGTCATCCACTCTTCCACTATAAATCTTAGAAATAAGTCCCTTGCCAGATATGTAATTATCAGCAAATATGAATTTGTTGCTGTCATTTTTGTTATGTGCTTTTTCGTGGTGTTGGTATCTTGGTTCCACATAATTTTCTATGCTGAGCTCGTTTTTTTTATGAATCATGTTATCACTTTCTTCATTGCTACTGGATTTGCCGTATATTCATGCTGGTCCTCTTTTTTGGTGTGAAGGTTTATCATTTTTCTTTGAGGTTACCCTGTGATTGGTTCCACATAATTTTCTATGCTGAGCTCGTTTTTTTTATGAATCATGTTATCACTTTCTTCATTGCTACTGGATTTGCCGAATATTCATGCTGGTCCTCTTTTTTGGTGTGAAGGTTTATCATTTTTCTTTGAGGTTACCCTGTGATTTATAGTTTAAACTATAAACTTTCTTCCCAAGTTTAGAGCAGTCCATTCTATCTTATAGTTGTCTTGATCCCCCTACCATCTAGAAGTTCTGTAATGACACAGTTTTTCCCCTTTTTGGTTTGCAATTGTCCTCATTTGTCAACTGTTGTCTCTGGTTCCCTGTTTACAATCTCGTAGGCCAATCTGGATAACTTCCATAGCTGGTTGGCTTCCGGGTTATATTATCATGTCTGTTAATGGTCAGTTGTTTGCTGTTGTTGCTTCTCTGTTCAAAGGGCACCCTTTGGCATATCTTGTAAAGTTAGTCTGCTTTGAATAAATTTCCTTAATTTCTGCTTATGTGGAAATATCCTAATTTCACCATCATATTTGAGGGACAATTTTGCTGGGTACATAATTCTTGATTGGAAATTTTTCTCTTTCAGTGTTTTACATATACCATCCCATTGTCTTCTTGCTTGCACGGTTTCTATCGAGAAATCTGAGCTTAGTCTTATTGGTTGCCCCTTGTAGGTAACTTTTTGTTTTTCCCATGCTGCTCTCATGATGCTGTCTTTGGTTTGGTAAGTTTGATGATGGTATGTCTAGGTGATTTTCTTTTGGGGTCTATCCTGTTGGGGTTCACTGAACTTCCTGAATGGATATATCCTCATCTTTCATACCACAAAAATTCTCTTCCAACAAATCTTGAACAATTTTCTCTGTGGTTTTATTTGTCTCTTCCTGTTCTAGAATTCTGATTACACATAGGCTATTCCTTTTCATGGTATCCCACATGAACCTTAGGCTTTCTTCATTTTGTTTTCCTCTTATGTCTGATTTATCCCTTTCCAAAGAAATGTTTAGGTATTTGCCTTCAATCTCCCTAATTCTGTCTTCCATTGATTCAATTCTGCTCCTTTGCACATTCAATGTCTTACCTACTTCTGAAAATTTAGTATTAATCTTCTGGATTTCTGTGTGTAAATTTTGTATCATTTCTAATTTTTCATTTATTTTGTCATTTTCTTCTTGTACTGTCTTTCGAAATTGTTCTAGGGTTTTCTCTGTGTTTTCCCTGATCCGTCTCTCAATTCGTTGAAGATACCTAAATATAATTCTTTTGAATTCCTTATCAGAGTGTGCCAGTGCTGCGTTTTCCTCAGGGATGTGTTTTGGGTCTGTATTCTGGTCCCTTGTTTCTCTTGCTTCTTTGTGTGGATTGTGATGCTCTGTTGCTCCAAGGCATTGTGACGTTTTTGTGTTTATATTTAATTGGTGATTGTATGCTGGAGTGACTTGCCCATGATTTTCGTTTTCTTTGTATGTTATCTATGCAAGCAGGGTACTGTGCTGTGTTCCTCTATTTGCTAGTGGACAGCACTTATATACTCACCACCTGTCTCCTTTCCTGTTGTCAGCCTCTTGCATGTCCCTGCCAACCTTGGCAAACAGAGCCTATTCTTAGGTCCCCGGAATCTGAACAAGAATGCTATCACTTTAAAATCCAAAATGGTTGCCACTCATAAAGATTCAAAATGGCTGCACCCCCAGTCACTTTATATATCCAAAATGGCCGCTGCTAGTAAACAGTCAAAATGGCTGGGCCCTCGGTCACTTTAAATAACCAAAATGGCTGCACCCTCTAGACAGCAGAAAGTCAACAGCTCAGTTTGGCTCCCACACTTTGTTGTTTCCCTTCCTAGTCATAGGCCGCCAGTGCTGTTGTCCCTGCAGCCCTTGGTGACCAGCAGTGATCTTTAGGTCAATTCTTAGGTCCCAACACCACTTGGAAATATTTAGGCTGTTGGTCC